TCTTCTGCATATGATGTTGTCTTTTTACACTGTTGATTATTTCTTTTGCTGTGCAGAAGCTTTTTAGTTTGATATAATCCCATTTGTTTATTTTTCCTTTGGTTGTCTGTGCTTTTTAGGTCCTATTCATGAAATCTGTACCCACTCCTACTTCCTGGACTGTTTCCCCTATGTTTTCTTTAAGGAGTTTTATTGTTTCAGGGTGTATATTTAATTCTTTAATCCATTTTGAGTTGATTTTGGTATATAGTGAGAAGTATGGGTCTAGTTTCATTCTCCTACATATGAGTATCCAATTTTCCCAGCACCACTTGTTGAAAAGGCAGTCTCTTCCCCAGTATGTAAATTTGCAGGCTTTGTCAAAGATCAGAAGGCTGTAGGCATATGGGTTAATTTCTGGGTTGTCTATTCTATTCCATTGATCCGTGTGTCTATTTTTATGCCAGTACCATGCTGTTTGGTTATTATAGCTTTGTAATACAGTTTAAAGTCAGGTAGTGTTATACCTCCAGCTTCTTTTTTTTTTTTTTGCTCAGGATTGCTTTGGCTATGTGTGGTCTTTTGTTTTTCCATATTAATGTCTGGATAGCTTTTTCCATCTCAGAGAAAAATGTCATTGGAATTTTGATGGGGATTGCATTGAATCTGTAGATCATCATTTTCACAATGTTAATTCTTTCAATCCAAGAGCATGAGTTATCTTTCCATCTTCTTGTGTCCTTTTTAATTTCTCTCAATAGTGGTTCAGGAGTGGTTTGTAGTTCTCATTATAGAGATTTTTCACATCCTTGGTTAACTCAATTCCTAAGGATTTTATTTTTTTGGTGGCTATTGTAAATGGGCTAGCTTTCTTGATTTCTTTTTCTGCATGTTCACTGTGGGAGAATAGATATGCTACTGATTTTTGTGTGTTGATTTTGTATCCTGCATCTTTGCTGAAATCATTTATCAACTCTAGGAGTTTTTTTTATAGAGGCTTTAGGCTGTTCAATAAATATATAGAATTATATCATCTGCAAAAAGGGACAGCTTGACTTCATCGTTTCCAATCTGTATGTCCTTTATTTCCTTCTCTTCTCTGATTGCTCTGGCTAGTACTTCCAACACTATGTTGAATAGGAGTGGTGAGAGTGGACATCCTTGTCTAGTTCCTGTTTTTAAGGGAAAAGCTTTCAGCTCTTTCCCATTCAGGATGATATTGGCAGTGGGCTTATCATATATGGCTTCAATTATGTTGAGATACTCTCCATCTATGCCTAACTTGTAGAGAGTCCTTATCATGAAAGAATGTTGAACTTTGTTGAATGCTTTTTCATCTTCTATAGAGATGATCATGTTTTTTTTGTTTTTGCTTTTATTGATGTGTTGTATCACATTTATTAATTTGTGTATGTTGAAACAATACTTGTATCCCTGGAATGAATTGCACTTGATCATGGTATATAATTTTGTGTATGTGTTGCTGTATTCTGTTATTCTGTTGAATAAAAGTTCTGCTCTTAAAAATGTAGACAATGGAAAGAACATCCAGCTTCTTGCCCCTAGACTAGAAGGAGGGACAAAGAGAAAAAACAGATTGATGATAAACACTGTCAGTTAACTCTAGCTACAAAACTACTACATAACAAAACAACCATAAAACTTCCGTGAGGGTTATTGCCCATGTCTCTGGGGTTGTGTTGCATCTGGGGTCAGCAAGGTATCCACCTATTACAATAATTTACTCTCTTCAACCCTCATCTTAAAGTAAAACTATTCAGGGGAAATGGAACAGCAGCTCTGTAAATAAACATGGTATCTTCATTATTTAATTAGCTAGATGCCATGTCCTCACCAGTCATTTTTGTTCTTTATTTGAAGAGCAATAGAGTACTTGGAAGAAAACTCCTTCTAAATATTTTAACAAGGTTATCAGACTAATAACATTTGAAAGGCTAGGGAAGAAAGTAAAAGAAAGCTTAAGCTAATAGGTAGTGAATTTTAGAGAGGCAACCAAGACAATTTATACTGAAAGTAAAAATAATATGGGAAAATAAAAACTCAATAATGAATTCATTTTTCTAGGCTATGTATGCATTACTATGAATCTATCCAGACTAAATGTATGTCTATTAAATGGCAACTGAATTTGGCAATTTATATGATCAGTTGCCACTCTGATACTTTTTAAAACATTATTGAAATCAGTCTTCTGTCCCATGCTGTGTTATAATAATCACGATATCAACTAATTTCATTCAACAAATGAGTGTTTATTTTCATCTTAGGCTAGGATTGTTGGCATTACCACCCCCCCGCCTTCACTTTTGTTTAATATTTATTGTGCATGTCGTATCATTACTAAGACAGCTGCTCTGGGATACGTATTTCTCATTGATCTATGTGTATTAGTGGGCTTTCTTTGGTGAAAAATCTGGCTAGAAAGAATATTATGTTTGTAGAATTAAGCAAAATATTAGCATTGCAAAATTTTTTTTCTTTTAAAACACATTCTGCCACAACTCACTTGGTACTACTAGAAAGATCTTTGGTCAGACTTAAAGTATTCCAGTATATGTGTTTTCTTGTATGAAAGATAAAGTGAAATTCAAGAAATGGGCATTATATATTTCAGAAACTCATACTTTAGGAAAGAATATAAACATTATTTGAGTCTTTAGCTCAAAGTCTGTTGAATTGCATTTAGATACCACTTCAGTTCCAAGTCGAACTTTTTAGAAACAAATGTAAGCTTATTCTGATTTCCTTTTACATGGAAATGTATTGATTGTACATATTTTGGGGGTACAGGGTTATATTTCAATACATGTATACAATGTGTGATGATCAAATCAGGGTAATTAGCACATTCGTCATTAAAAAACTTAGTCATTTCTTTGTGATAAGAACATTCAATCTCCTCTCTTCTAGCCATTTGATAACATGCAGTAAATTGTTGTTAATTATAGACACCTAGCTTGACTGTATAGAACTTATTTTTCCTCTCTAGCTGTTTTGTGTCCACTAACTAACTTCTCATTATTTCCTCTCTCCCTTCCCCTCTTGGGCCTCTAGTAACCATAGTTCTGCTCTCTCCTTCTGGAAGTTCAAATTATTATTATTTTTTGTTTGTTTGTTTATTTTAGTTCCCACTTATAAGTGAGAACATGTGGTATTTCTCTTTCTGCTCCTGGCTTATTTCACTTAACTTAATTTTCTTCAAGCTCAATATATATTTTTTACTTTTGAACACAGGCTAAACCCCCAAATTTTTAGTCAGGGCAAGTTACAGTTTTTTTTTTTTTTCCTTTTTGTCTTTTTTTTGTGACCGGCAACGGATCGCAACCCTCAGTGTCTCGCCTGTACCGGACCGGGACCGGCAACGGGATCGCAACCCTCAGTGTTGCCCCCGCACCTCGCTCAGCCAGTGAGCGGCCGGTCTGTATGTGGGATCTGAACCCTTGGCGGGAGCGCCACCGCGCTTCCCAAGCGGCGCACTGTAGCAGTGCGCCACCGGGCCGGCCCCAAGTTACAGTTTTTACCCATGTTATAAGTATGCCCTCAAGATTCTCGCCTTAGGACAGCTCTATAACTAAGACTATCTTTGATTTTAAGAAACTCAGTCTCCTTGGGATACCCAACAGGTGTATATCTTATCATTTGTTTTCTTTTGGCATAGCCCAATTTTACACAGAGATTTTAGTACAACAAATTGTTCTTCCTGTATCTTTTTAAATTCAGAATCCTGAATCTGGACCAACAAACTTTTAATCAACCCAATGAAGAGAATATGGGAAGACAGGTAATTTATGGGACCTGAATTTCTGAAATCATATTAAGACAACATTGAGCTTCATGGTGAAAAACCAGGGGTTGCAAAGAACTGAAAATCTACCCTTTAGTCATTCACATCACCTTTTTCTTCTTCAAATTAATAGATCTTTTTATAAACTAGTTGGCCCTGCTGATGCTTTGAATGGGAAAGTTGCAGATATATTTCAATCATTGCAGAAAAATGAGTAGTCCAAAGAAATCACAGATCAAGGAACTATATTGTTGAGAAGTAACCCTGTAGCCTAGAAGAGAAAATATGCAATGTTAGTCTACTATCCACAATAAGATACTAAATGGATGACGTGTGGTTACCAATATTTAAATGGCAAAAACAGACACCTGGAGAGCAGGGTCAGAGTAATGAGCCATCGTCTTTTTGCAGAATGAGTTAGGACACTAGGCACAACTTTTTCCATATAGGATTCTATTCAAGCAGTCACTATAGTAAAGAGGGGAATGCAAAGAAATGGGGCACCTTGGTGGAGAAGCACGCTGGAACGCATGCCGATGTTTCATTATGTATAAGGAAAACAGTCTCAGCCTTCTGAAGGGTATACAAAAAGCAAATGGGAGGAAAAGCCACACCTTTAAGTTGCATATTCAACCAAGATGTCTTAAGATTCTGTGGAAGAATTGGCTCCTTGTCAGTTAGTTATTTCCAAACCATAGCAAGTAGATAACAAGATCAAGGTAATCGCTGAAGAGACCTTTGCCTGGGCAAAAAGATTGTAACCACACCACTGTTTTTAATCTTTAAGATAAAACAAATGCATTTAATTCTTCTTAATATGTACTTAATATATATTCTGATGGGATTCCATGACATTTCCATTGACAAGTGCATGGTACAAATTCAGTAGTCCTGATATACTTATGAATATATTATGTTATCCTTCAGTTAACAAATGGAATGTGATGTTAGACAAGGTATACCAGTTTACTGCTAACCCATAGATGAAGTTTGAAGATTTATTTTCTGCATCTCAATCTCACTCTCAATTTTGTCTTGTTGAGAAAAAAAAAAACTGGATCTTTTTCATCCAGTATTATTTTTGTGGATTATGTATGATGAAATACATGTTGTAAGGAATGTCATGCTTCTAATAATGTGTTCTTTATAGTTAAGGTGAGTTATTTGAAAAAAACCATTGATTATAACTCTAATTGTGTAACTGTTATTTTCACAGGAAACTTACAGAGACTCATCTGAAAACCATTCCCGGTCATGCATTTTCAAATCTGCCCAATATTTCCAGGATGTAAGTCATTTTTTTCTTACCATAAAGAGAAGTTTGCAAATGTGAGATGTTATTTTCTATCAAGAAAAATATTTTTTATAGTACATACATAAGTCAATGCCATCTACATTTTTAGTGTATATGAAAATTTTATGTTCATGATGTTTATTTGATTTTGTTACATCTCCATGCCCTAATTCACTGATGATTTTTTAAAAACTTAAGGCAAATTTAAATTCATTTGGTCTTGAGAAGTTTATAATTTTTGAAGAATTTTAATATATCTTGGAAAGTGGGAAAGTCTTACCTAGGAATCTCTTCCATAAACAGATTTTATATCTATCTCTAATCCTTCTATCCTAGTTACCTATTCATGATTCACCTTTCACCACTTATAAAATGTTTGCATTTTGTTATAAATGTAGGCAATGGTTTCAGATTTCTCACACTTAAAAAAAAATAACTAAAGTTAATTCTAAACCTTAAAAACTGGGCCGGCCCGGTGGCACACTGCATAGTGCGCCGCTTGGGAAGCACGGCGGCGCTCCCGCCCGA